AAGATTTATGACCAGACAAAATGGCAGGCGGTTTTCTTGCCACCAGCTCTCTGTCCCTTAACCCCTCAAATGCGTAATGAATTATGCAATGAAATTTGTTTCATTTTTCCAGCACACACGCACAAACACACACACACACGCGTTGCGGGGCAATTGAAATTTTGAAAGACTGCAGTAAATATCCTTGTTATTTGGCAATGTAATAAATTCCAGAAAAATGATTGTTTAATTTAAGAAACGCATTTGTTGATCTTGTGGGCGAGTTAAGAGAGAAAAGTGCTGTTGAAATTTCAATTTAACCACATGAAAATTTGCTGAATGTTGAAATGGGAAATGGGTGCAACTCGTTTCGGCTTTGCCGCTTGTCCTGCATTTTTATCTGACGCTGCCTCTGCACTCATTTGTGCCTCGAGGTCACCTTACCTCCTTCCACTCTGCACAAGCATTGACACGGCAGGTGGAAGGGGCCTTCGTGACATCCTGGCAGCCTTCTGGGGGCGTGGTTGCTTCCTGTGCGACGACCATCGTAAGGCCAGGCTCAGGCGCTTGAAGGATTTCCCTTCAGCTGGGACCCCTCTCTGACTGTGGATGTGGCTTCTGGCTTTGTCGTAATCTCGCAGTCTCATTTTTTTCTGCCTCGCCCCTTTAAATACCCTTGTAGGGCGTGTTTTAATTTTGACATGAAATATGTAACGCCTAGAAGAAGACATATTCAACCCCTTAAAGTATTAAGATGCAGCAGCCGACATGCATTGTCGTCAGCCGGATCGGAACACTATACCATATAATCCACATTCATATCATATAGGAAAATTCTGTGTGGAAAACTAGTTAGTTTCTGAAAGTATCTTAACCAAACGCAGAGGGTATTTCGACTCCGGCATGCCGAAAGCAGCTGGCGTTCTTTCCTGTTTTTTCCCTTTTCACTTATTAGTCTACGTTTTGCAAATATTTGCATACGAGGCACGTCTCAGACATTTTTCTTCAACTTATTCTTTATTTTTGTTTCTCTGAGTTTCCTTCATTTTATTATTATTATTATTACTCTTGTTGTTCTTACCACGGCTCGCTGTCAGCTTTTGGGGACAGCCTTCAAAGTGCAAATGCGAGATTTCTTAGCACCACATTAAAAAGACGACAGCAAATAGCAAAACAAAAAATAAAATGAAAAATCTTTTAAATTATAAAAAATAACATGGAATGTTTTTCATTTCAATTTTGTCTTATTTTTTGTTTACTAATTCCAGTGAATTATATCGAGCGATGACGTTGACAAAGGGTTAAGGTAAGAAAATATTAATTAATTTAAGTTAAGTTCAGCAAAATAAAAAATTATATCTAACAAAATTGATTTTCATGCCGCTAAGATGGAATATCAACATCTATCTAAATCCACATTTGATCATTTTGCAATTTTGAAAATTTAGTAACAGAATCTGCCCTAAAAGGATCTCCGGATAAGATAAATGAGTGATATTTTTTATATATGGTACTTATTTTTATTTATCTCATTTGTATATCAATAATTAATTTCCTTTATATTCATTTTCTACATACATACATAATGTGAACTCAGCTTGAACAATTTGAACAAAATTTAAAAAGTGAATTAAAATCATGAAGCGATTATTAAGATCACAACATTAATGTAAATATATTATTATATGATGGTCCTGAACAAATATATTTCATTTAGACAGGATATCTTTACTTTAATCAAAAATAAACTTTGTTAATATAATTTCACAGATTGGAGACTTCATATGTATCGATAAGTATTGCCAAAATTAATTCCAATGCATATCGGTGTTTCATACAATTGGGAAATCAAAAATAAAGATGAAATTGTGTTGACAATTTGTGTAAGAATTGAAATTTATGATTTCTGCATATTGATAGATTATATACAAATCATTGTTTCCATTTTGATTGAGCTAATGATTGAATTAAAAAAAAAATTTGAAAATGCTATAGCTACATTTTGGCTTATCCAACTGCTAAAAAACATTCGAAGCACTCACAATAATAAACTGAATCGTTGATTTATTTTGACGACCCAAATCATTTCTCAGGCTTTGCCCTTTTTAAGCTGCCCGCCTGGAGGCTGCCCTCTGACTAACCCATCAACTTGTAATTTGTAAATTAAATTGCTTTTTCAGGCCTCCCTTTTTGTGGTTCCCCTTTTTGTTTTTCTGTCGTTTCGTTTCGTTTTTTATTTTTTGTGTGCAAAAATGCAAATTTATCAAATTGGTTTAAGGTCTGGATGCTGATGGCGGCCAATTTAAATGCCAAAAATTAATTACACATGCCACACAGACACACACACACGAACACACGCACATACACGTGTTTTTTGTACTGTTACTTTGATTGTTGTTGTTGCAGTTTACACCTTTTAATTGATTACACACACACACACAGGATCACAGCCACACACACATACACACTTATGCACACCTTCGAATTGTGTTATTTGATTTTGACGTATTCGGAATTTGGTTGGCACTTGGCCCGCACACAAAAACGGCACTCGGTTCGCAGCACGGGCCACGAAACGATACACAAACTTTGTTGGCAGTTGGCGGTTGTCATTTGGCTTGGCTACTGCCAATTGTTGGTGGCCAGGCTGAAAGAGCCGCAACGAAATGGCCGCAAAACGAACATGGCCACGTTTCCGAGTTGACTGATTTCAGCCTAGCTGCTGGCCAAGGCACGAGCCGTGGCCAAAGCCGAAGCAATGGCTCTTATCACAAACGATGCCGTTAGTCGGGCGTCCGTGTTGAGTTTCACCGTCGTGTCGTCAGACCACAACGCAGACGCCCAGCAGAGAGAGAGAGAGCAAGAGCGCAAAAGAGACTGAAATCGCGAGAGCTGTTGCCGGCTTTTGTTGGTGTGTGGTGAGTTTTGTCTGTCGTACGCATTGGTGAAAGCTTGTTGAATGTTCCTTGCGGAATGTGGCACCTCAGTCTGTTATCAGTAGTGCGTAGCAGGTACCGCTGTTCAAGACTCCGGCTGTCCGACTTTGGCTAACGTGCAAGAGGAAATCGGATTCTGCTGGAACTATGTATGAAGTATTATCATGAAATTGCAGTACTCTACCTAAGTTCCTCACTGATTATACATATACTTATAGACGAGATCATATTTTTTTCTAGCAAAGGATTCGCCCCGGCCACATATGAATATATATATTATTGATCAGCATAAATTAGTATGCATTGTCTTTCAATTTTATGTCAGTTCGGACCACTATATAATATAGCTGCTTTTGTTTGTCAAAATAGCTGCCCAAATTCATAATAAACCTATCACAATTAACATATCTGATATATAAAACTTGATTATAATATATAAATAAAGCTCTTATAGTAACAATTGACAGGAAAACTTTAATAAAAGCTCATATCTAGACTCTTTTCTTATTTATAAATATTCAATGTCTTAAAATTCGTGCCTTGTAAATAAAATTCGCTTAAAGGTTGGATTTTTGTTTTTTTACCTGTTCTGACACGATTAAAAAAATTAAATTATTTTTCCGTGAAATACTTGAGCTAAGGTCTCAAATATTTTTCCTAATATGCTGCCGTGTGCCCCGGAAGGTCAACGAACTTTAGTCTTTAATGTTATTTACATGCATTACGTTAAGATGTAAGAGTTGAAAAAAAATTTGGGAAGCATTCATGTGCTTGAAAAGCTTTCTTTAAGCCCTAAATATCACAGACACATAAATTCTTAGTTTAATAGCTCAACCCTTATAGTTACTTCTCATTTGAGATGCCGGTTTGATCTTGTATTGCCGCTTGACTCGGTAAAGTTTTCTTATTTCTACTTTTCTTAATTAAAATTCTTAATAAAGTCTTAAATATAATCTTAGTTTCCAAACTCTTACTTTTCCTTTTGATCTCTAACGCAAGGTTCCGCTTTGATCTTGTTTAAAGCTTTCAGGTGTCAGCTTTCAGTGCGAGATTGAAAACTTGTCACTTCCTAATTGATGCATTGGCGCCTGACTCCGCACAACATGTCCATGTGCCGTTTGTCAACCACAATGGCGACTTCCGCCTCGCCATTCGTCCCTCTGCTCCTGCTTCGTCTTGTGTACTCCTCGGCCTGGCCTTTTGCCTGTCATTTTGGAACATTCATTTTGACTTTCATGCGCTTGTCAGCTGACGTCTAAGAGTGTTTTGTTTTCGGCCACTTCATCGTCCTTGCTCGTCCTGTCCGTCGTCATCATCTGGCTGAGGGGCTGAGTAGTGCCTGTTGATGGTGCTTGTTGTCGCAACAGTTTTTATGGTCTTGTCATCGTCAGCAAAAAAAAAGCTCGATGCAGTTGCTTGGCATATCGATGCGCCTTGCGGCTGGCACTGGCCACTTCCATAGACGATAAACAGGCCAAACTAATTACCGTGCATAATAAATCAGCGCTGTCATAGTTTGCGATTAGTTTGACACCACCCTCGAGCTGAGGTCCTTGCAGCTTATTGGCTGCATTTATGCAAATTGCTAGCAATATAGGAGAACTACGAGCCAAAGTATCGGACTTGCTCGATGCATGCCTTGTGCAATATTAATTGCAATTTGTTGGCGTTTTTCCGAGAAGTTGCAACAGCTTTAACCTAATAAGCGATATCAGTCAAAGCATGCCCCACGATTGCCACATATATATATACCCAGTTAGTCTACTTGTTCTTGCTGACAAACGATTTTTTTATGCAATATTAATTGATTTCTATAGAAAAGGAAACAACTGACACATTTTTACTTGGCTCGGCTAGGGGAAGGGGGAGGGTTGGGTAAAAGTACTGTGGGGTAATTTATAATTGTGTAGCACTGGAAAAGCTTTTAGCATAAGAACATGTAGCGTGACTTGAATGATGATTGAGTCAAATTGCAACAAATTGTCAGGCAATTAGCTTGAAGAGGAACATGACTAAGGATTCTATTTTAAGCACTTCAAATATAGCTAGTTCTGTTTTCAACAACAATTACTACATTTATTTAATTTCCAACAATTTTAAATTTCGCTGCCCTCAATAAAGCAAAAATGATTGATTTCTGTGGAAGGAAATAAAATGACAATTTTATGTGTGAGCTGTATTGGCACCCGTCCTACCTCAACTGCCTGAAAAAGTTGACCTTCTTGCGTACCTCGGGTATATCGTGCATATGATCATCCAGAAACTTGTAAAAGGTGCCAGTGTTCGGGTCGAAGTCGTTCTTGGGCAAGCGATTGAACATAAAGTCGGGGGTACCCCCCTTGGGCTCCAGCGGCTTGCAGCGTGAGGGATAAGGCTGCGTATACTCACGCATATAGCCGGACTTAAGTGGCTGTATCAGTTCCTCTTCGAGGTCCACAGGCCCATAGCGTGGACTGCGGTCAGTGGTCAGTGAATAGAATTAAGCGAACGAAATGCATCAGAATACTTGACTGCACTTACTCATCCATGTTGAAGGACTGAAAGTTGACTAATTTGTGGTCCGTAGTGCAAAGGGTGCGCTGTGGCCGAGAGCCCTGCTCAAGCATGATCTGTGTGGTGGTCTTCATGACCGAACTGTCCATGTGCGACTCCCATAGCTTTGTCTTCCTCCTACAGGGCATGGCCGCAACAATTGAGCAAACGTGAAATATTAAAAAATTGTGTTTTTGGCAAATGCTTCTGATCTGATGTAAGTCGAATGACAAATGTTTAGGTGACTAACAATTTTCGTTCGTACTTCTACACATTTATTAGACAACAAAGGAAAAGATTTCAAAATAAATTTTCTATGAAATCTCGAAATCACTCAGCGATAGTTTTTTTCTTTTTTTAGAATGGAGATCAAAGCTTATTTCCAATATTTTTAAATATTATGTTTAATGAATCCATATCCATAATATATTTATAAGCTTAAAGTCTGCTTCCTTGCCTTGCTATCAATAAGGAATAACCGAAATCAGTTTGCCTAAAAAAAGATTTTGACTGAAGATTTCCAATGAGATGGAGGCCCCGCCCCCCGCCAATAAGCATAAGGAATCTGGTCGCCAATAATTGTATTTAACAAGCCAGATTTTGTAGGTTAAAAAGTGAAATCTTTTATAAACATGTTGAAAATATGAGACAAACCATTCTTTGAACTAGCTCGTGGGTTAATGGGCGTGGAACAACAAGTTCAAGAACCGAGCCCAAAGACAGGGAGTTGGTTCTAGCCGTGAACCGGCCCAGCGACAATATTAATGTGTTTTCGACCCAGCTTGATTTTAGGCAGAAATGAGCTGAAGCAAATCATCTAAGCACTTTAAATAAAATATGTTCACTGCCAGGCAAATTGTGTTGATAAATGAAATTTGAGCTTGGACACAATTTAGTTATGTATATGTAAACCAATTAAATCCGATCATTAGGCAACAAACTGTGTGTTTCATTCAAATCACGAGCGGATTTATGGCAAGCCAAATGGCCTGAATAAACAGAGAATTCAAATGAAAATCGAACAGTCAGTGGGTCAGTGGGCAACATCACGGCATGCCCCCAATGGGCAACTGGAGCCGGCAGCCGATGGAAGGGCATGCTGCAATTGCAGCAGGAATAATAATAGGAACAATTGGCCGGAACAATGGAGCTGGTTGCAGTTTTCATTATGTGTTGCTACCTTATTTGCTTGCATCGACATTAATACGGGCTAATTAAACAAATATTGAATGTGTGTGTGGGATGGGTGTTTGGTGTGGGCGTGTGGTGTGTGGTGTAGGTGTGTGGCTTGGGTGTGCGGGTCTGTGGCATGTTTATGCATATCATATGGCTTATATCAACAATCGGCATCGATGACACCAGAAAGCAATGCTGAACAACATAATGCGATAGACACCGCTCAGCAGCAGAACATGCAACACGGCGCAAGCGGGACGCAGCTAGAGCCAGTGAGAGCGAGATGGCAGCGGATGGATATTCGCCATGTGCGGCATAAATTATGTGCCACAAATTTTGCATGCGTTGCATTTTGCAGCGCATAATTTGCATTTTTAAGCATTTTCACAGTGCATTGGGCATAATTAAAAGCGACGTCGACGTCAAAGGGGCACAGCGCCTGTGGAATGGAAGGCGGAATGTACTTTTCATTTTGGGCAGGGTGTGTACACACTGAAATGCAATTAAGGCAACAACACGGGTGTGCAAAACTGTTAAACCGCTCGAGTTGCTCACCTTTAAGATTACACACAGTTGACTTGGCGTGTGGGGCAGGGACAGGGGCTGCTGCCGGGCAGCCGCCGTGGTGCACTTAACAAATTAATGTCAAGCCACAATAAAAGTCAACAGCTGGTCTGGCAACGGGTGGCGCGGCTGGCGGCAGGTGGAGCATGCATCTCGAGCGCTAAGGTGAAAGCAAGTTGAGTGCAATGTCATGCTGAGACTTAGTGAGAGTTAGGGCACGTGTGCAGGGGGAGGAGCAGCGAGTAGGGATAGCGCGTGCAGCCATGAATGGAGAACGGAAGCTGCCACTCACACAGCAACATTTACAAATGCACACAACACACACATCGACACACACACACACTCATACTAATGCAGGCACACACGCATGTTTAAGCGCTGCCTGCCCGAGATTTTGCGCTTGACATATAATCTTTATGTCGCCAGTCGCTGTGTGTGTGGGTGTGTGTGTGGAGCTGCATCCTTGCGCATCCTGCGCAAATGGCAAAAGTTTTGCCAGAACGCAGCACTTGCTCAACTTTTGATGGCTGAGGTGTGAAATTTACGAGCTGCGATTCGTAAGTCCAAATAGGCATATAATTATTACACATACACACATAGACACACACAACAGCAGCCAAGGGATGCCGTTAAATTAGAAATTGCTTAGCTGCAGAAATCCATTTAAATTATCGCATTATCGCTAAAAAATATTTATCCTGTGCCTCAGATATCAAATCAATAACAATCAGCAGCAGAGAAGCCCTTTATATACATTTAGATACAAATTTTCTTACAAATATGACAGATCTATTACAAGAATAAACACCACAATGCTATGCTTGACCACTTTTCGACCGATCGTTTGTATGGCAGCTGTATAATATGTTATTGAAACTCTAAAGTGCCGCGAACTTAATCAGCTATATGATATAGTGGCAACTCGGCTATTAAAGCTGATTTAGTGTATATATAGTTTATAGAATCGGAGATGTCTCCTTTCATGCTTTACACAGTTCATGGCAAAATTATAATGCATTCTACAAAGCAATGCAAATGTATAAAACAAACAAATAGAAGCAATTCCCACCAGAGGGAAAAAGGCTGGTGACTTGCAATTTTAAGTATATACTCCCATATATCATACGCAGTTTATCATATTATTATGATAGGCTTTGACCTTATTATTATATCGATTTTAGGACTAATTATAAAGCACACCTCGTTACACTTTAAGGCTTCACTTTTAACGTGATTTGGTACGAGAGAAGTTTGGAAGATTTGACAATTCATTAAAATATCTTGGCTAATATATAAGAATGTTTAAAGTATCTTGAGCTTGATTTTTGACCGATTGCTTTTATTTTAGGCCACGTCGGCTGTCGGGATTATGAGGAATACGCATTTATATAGATGGAAGAGGAAATACTTCATCTTATGAATTACACATTTCGTGCTACGCTAAAATACCCTCTGCCATGATGCAGAGTTATTTATAAGGTCTGCTGAGTGGAATTTCATGAGCTTGGCCTCCTGCGCCAACATTCATTCATATGCTGCTGCGGCTGCTCCAAATGAACTTCCTGGTAAAGCTGCATTGGAAAAAACAACTTCACGGCATTGAGTGAGGGAGAGAGTAGGATAAAGAGAGAGAGAGAGTGGTCAAGTGAGAAACAACAGAAAAAATGCAGTTAAATGAGCGGAAATGCAAAATTAACTCGCCGCGAAAGCGCAGAACAAACAAAGAAATTGTTGTACAACTAAAAAAAACATAAAACAAAATGAAGAGGAAATAGAGAAGAAGAGCAGCTAGTGCGGCAACAAAGGAAATGCAAGTAAAATTCCTGGAAAAAAAAAAACGAAAAAAATGTTGCCACTTGGCCAAATTTAATGCAAATATTTGGCCAACCACAAAAGAAAAGGCCCCGTACATTTATGGGCAGCAGCCAAATGAAAGCGCGGAAGGGGGCGACTTTCTGCATTAGGTCAATATTAGGTTAGACCCCATTACGACTTTGCTAACTATGAGCCTTAGTTTAAACCAAACGAATTTCCTTACAAACAGCTTAATCTATTGAATTGGTTCAAATTAAAAGCCAAGGGGGAGATACCATGCACCTACTTTTGCATATATCTAACCATATTAGGTTGATGCCAATTTTGGGTAGAGATTACATTTGCCATGTTGATTAATCACCGCCTAATTTCATGGATCTAAAAGTCCAAATACGCGTGTCATTGCCAGTTTTTTGCTATGGGCCTGCAGCCTTGGTTGATATAGAGGATGCACGAAGATTTAATTCTGAAACTCTAAAGAAATAATCGGTTAAGCAAAGTCTATTCCACAGCTATTTGTAATATTTATGGCCACATTTCTCGTTCGCATTCTGGCCAAATGAATGCGAGTCCTTATTGTGCTTCACACGTAAACAGCTATGAAATGTGCACGTCGCACAACCTCAGGGCAAGTGAATGCCCGACTCCCTTCCCCACCGCTATGTAGCGACAAGTCTGTCTGAGTATTTACCAAGGTAACGACCACTTTTTGGCGATACAATTTGCAGCGACAAACCGCGTCAGGCGGGAATTGCCTTAATCCCTCCTCTCACCGCCGAGCTCCTTACTGTGTTTCGCTTATGGCCGAAAGGGTCTTTGAGCGTATCCTTAAATGTTGAGCTTGATAAATAGAAAATGAAAATGTAAATGATTTATCTTCTGCGCGTATCTTAAGCTGCTGCTGACGAACTTTTGAGTATTTGAACTGGGCGAAAATTGTATTTAATTGTATTGTCGTGCTCGCAGTCCGCTTTTGATAATTGCAATAGAGAAAAACTGAGAGAGAGATAGGGAAAGTGAGAAAGAGAGAGAGATTTAGTCGTAAATTAAACAAACATTTTCACAGAGCGCGCAATGAAAATGACAATAAAAATAGCATCAAATTTATGGCATACCAAACGAAGCAAAATGGAACGAAATGAGAGTCGAAGCAGCGGGAACGGCTTCTTGGCCATTTTATTATTTTGCACTTGCCCCAGCTCACTCCCTGCCCCACAACGCATACCGCACATCCACACCCACACCTGCTACACTTCACACTCGCAGTTGGCACTGAGCAGGGCATCTGCCACTTGGCACTGACTTCTGCCTGGGGCAGACAGCCAGCCGCAAGGGAGGCGTGCAGCTGCCAGGGACGACACATTCAGTCGCACTGACTTTGCACAATTAATGGCGGCCAGCCTGACACGCCCCCTCCCCCACGCTTCTCGTCGGCCGGCAAGTCTTGCGCAATTATTGCGCCATTGTGTGAGAACCTTTGCCAAGTGTCTGTGTCACCGCTAAATTTAACATAATCCTGGAACGCCGCCGACGCCGGCGCTGCCACTCATTTAATGCTACCGTTTCGGCAGCTGACGCGGCACAGCGCTTCCTTGCGGCCTGCCCGCCCCTATTAGCCCATGCCACTTTTTGGGTGCTCGCATGCGGTGTCTTTGTCCTGCGGTAAGCCTTTCTTTTGCCGCGCAT